CCCCCCCCCCGTTTCCCGCGTTATTTTTCTTTCCAAAACTGCATCAATAATTCGAGCCTTTGGGGATGAAGCGTAATTTAAAAAAAAATAAAACTTTATTATTATTATTATTAATTTACAAATTACCCTCTGCTCCTTGCTAGAAATTACATATTATGCTCTAATAAAAATAAATAATTCTCTATGTAACATTTGGTTGTCGAACGACGTCATATGTTCAACAGCGCGCAAAATAAAATTCTAGATAACTGCGCTAAATGAGGCCTTTAAAAATAACGCAAGTGCATTTGGTGCGTAATATTTTATTTTATTTTTTCGTGAAAAGTTGGTATAATAAATCTGGGGAGTACAAAAAAAAAATGGTTAGGCCATACGAATATTCATATTAGTTCAGGGACGATGGCGTACCGGTACGTGTGGGTGGGGGGTGATTGATTGGGGGAGGGGGGGGTTAGTACTAATTGGGAATATCATAAAGTCCGTTACGCTAATGTATGTTTTATCAACTAGTCTAACGTGAGTAGATGGGAAGTTCACGCTCTAGCTACATCTATAATTTACGCATTAAGTTCCATCGTATTTTATATTTTACCAATTAACCCACATGTAGAAAAACAATGCACCCGCAGTAGCTGCAGGCATCTTTTAGAAAAATTTAGAAAAATTACCTACATTTCTAACATTCAAATTTTAAAAAATAAAATTTAAAAAAAAAAAAAAAAAAAAACATTCCATGGTAGATTTCATCGAGTTAATTCAAGTGGACGTAAGGCATTTGATTGAGATTGTCAAACATGGCGGTTGACATTGCCAAATGAGGGATTCAGATCGTCAAGCATTGGATTCAGATCGCCCCACATTGGATTCAGGCTGCCGATCATGGGGATGACTTTATCAATACAACTATTTGACTTTTACGCTGGAGAGGGCTCTAAGGCCGAAACGTTCAAATCTTTTGTCCTGTCCATCAACTCAAGTTTGACATGCCTCGTTCTTACAGATCATGTACTCAACGTGAATGCAGTCCATCAGCTATTATAAATATGTTAACAAATAACGGTACACTTGAATTTACTTATTTGCCAACAGCTCACATGCTGCACAAACCCTGCACTATTGCTGCACAAGCCATGCAAACATGCTGAAAAAACCCTGCACACATGCTGCACAAGCCATGCGAAAATGCTGAAAAAACCCTGCACACATGCTGCACAAGCCATGCGAAAATGCTGAAAAAACCCTGCACACATGCTGCACAAGCCATGCAAAAATGCTGAAAAAACCCTGCACACATGCTGCACAAGCCATGCAAAAATGCTGAAAAAACCCTGCACACATGCTGCACAAGCCATGCAAAATGCTGAAAAAACAATGCACACATGCTGCACAAGCCATGCAAAAATGTTGAAAAAACCCTGCACACATGCTGCGAAACTTTTATAACTGTTTTGTATGATCCCAAACATGATTGCGTATGGTAAACTGGATGCAAACGTGCCAAAATTACGAGAACCCTTGTCGTCAGTGCCGCTGGAGTGTTCGGAGTGGAATGAAAAGCTCTGTCCCTACATTTGATCTAGATGGTCGGTAGAACTATCAAGTGGCTTTAGGTCTATTTCTTATACTTTTTTAGGTCTATTTCTTATACTTTTTTAGGTCTATTTCTTATACTTTTTACGCTACTTTCCTCTAGCGTTTGGGTAAACTGTCGACGAAGACTTAAGAGCACTTGTGTATTTTGTAACTTAGTTGCCGCAGTGGGGTGGGGTTAATTTTTCAAAATAATTTTTTTTCTACCCCTTTTGACTTAGACTGTACGTTTGTATTTCCCGGATTGCTTCCCTTGTCAGGCTAACGTTGATTCCCTGACCCCCACTTTTGGGGAAATTCTCAAAACGTGAAATAACTGTCAGCACGACTAGCTGATGAGGTACATTTGAAGTAAAACATTCATTACGACATCACACTACACAGATTTAATTTCTGGTTGGACGATTCGTCTCCGCCACCGCCATATCGCCACATATTGCCATATCGCCATATGTCACCACAAATCGCCACCGCCATATCGCCACATATCACCACCGCCATATCGCCACATGTTACCACCGCAATATCGCCAATTATTGCCACCGCAATATCGCCACATATCGCCACCGCCATAACTCCACCACCAAATCACCACATATTGCCATCGCCATTTTGCCGGCGCAATTTCGCCACTGCACTATCTCCACTGCACTATCGCCACTGCACTATCGCCACTGCACTATCGCCACTGCACTATCTCCACTGCACTATCTCCACTGCACTATCTCCACTGCACTATCTCCACTGCACTATCTCCACTGCACTATCGCCACTGCACTATCGCCACTGCACTATCTCCACTGCACTATCTCCACTGCACTATCTCCACTGCACTATCTCCACTGCACTATCGCCACTGCACTATCGCCACTGCACTTTCGCCACCGCAATTTCGCCGCTGCCAGTTTCCCCGTCAAAGATAAAAATAAATAATTGACATATAAAAGTGATAATAAAAATTAAAGTTCATTTGAGCAATGTTGAATATTCACGACTGTATATACTGTTTAAATAGATCTATACAGTCTCTAACATACGATAGGGGCCACGCCGCATGTGGCCCACCCTGTATACTCGGGACTTATTTGACACGCGTGAGGACCATTCGTTACTCCATGTGTTTGTGGACTAAACAGATAATAGAGCTAGGGACCTGTGCTCATGTCATTCATTAAAAAAAAAAAACTTTCTTTACCATAGGGTTTGTCATTTATTGGCGGAAATCTAAGAATAGCACATCCGGGTGCAGCGTCCGGTCAATCTTATTAAGACATTAATAAAACATCCTGGTCTGCCGTTTGGCCAATCTCTCGTGCTATTCCGTACTTCAACGTCAATGGGAGCATTAACCTAGACGGAAACGTGTTTACAACTTTATTTTACCTGTTATATAATATATATATATATATATATATATATATATATATATATATATATATATATATATATGTGTGTGTGTGTTTGTGTGTGTGTATACTATAATATATAATCACGCGCGCACATTTTTTTTTTTCTGTTATATAATATATATATATATATATATATATATATATATATATATATATATATATATATATGTGTGTGTGTGTTTGTGTGTGTGTATACTATAATATATAATCACGGGCGCCCATTTTTAGTCGGGTAAAATTAATGACCAAACATATCATTGCAGTAGTTGGTAAAAAAAAATATATATTTTATTTTATTTTGATAAAATCAGTTTCAATATAAAAGACTTTGAAAAAAAAAATTAATAATATTGGAATCTATTTCAACATTTTGAATGAACGCAGCCATGACGAGTCACGCGAGCCGCGAACCAGCCAGCACCACACTTGTCTGCCGCACATCTCCCACATGTCGTGAAATGTGGGCCAGGGTACTGAGGCCTATTTAAAAAAAAATAAGAAGAAAAAAATATGAAACAAATGAATAGCGTTAAAAAAAAATCTAGGTCTGCCGCGACATTGGCCAACAGACACCGCCTATTTCTGGCGTGTTGGGGTGGATGGGAGTTAGTTGTGGAACTAGATCTTTGAATTTCTTTTTACAAACGGTTTGTGACAGTGTCGTGGTACCAGTTCTTTAGTCAAGCGGGCTGTGATAGTGTCCCTTCACGAGTTCAGTAGTCAAGTTGTTTGTGACAGTGCGATGGTACCGGTTCTTTAGTCGATCGGGTTGTGACAGTGCGTGGTACCGGTTCTTTAGCCGATCGGGTTGTGACATTGCGGTGGTACCGGTTCTTTAGTCGATCGGGTTGTGACAGTGCGGTGGTACCGGTTCTTTAGTCGATCGGGTTGTGACAGTGCGGTGGTACCGGTTCTTTAGTCGATCGCGTTGTGACAGTGCGGTGGTACCAGTTTTTTAGTTGATCTGGTTGTGACAGTGCGATGGTACCGGTTCTTTAGTCGATCGGGTTGTGACAGTGCGGTGGTACCGGTTCTTTAGTCGATCGGGTTGTGACAGTGCGGTGGTACCGGTTCTTTAGTCAAGGGGGGCTTCTACAGTGTCGTAGTACCAGTTACCGGTGGATATAAGGGAATTCCTTTGCTGACGTCTATACCGTCAAGTCCAATGAACACAGTTTTATCTTGTGTTAGTTGGTCACGGAAATATAACAACCGACCAAGAGTGAAAATTAATTCAACGCGTCAAGTGTGTCGACTTCTCGGGAGTAAAACGGCGCGGGATTGTGAAGAAGCATCCATCCAACCTTGCTAGTTTATTTTGGACGCCCTTCAAATTTGGAAATCTCGGTTTTCTCGCCATGTTTCGTATGGTTTTCTCCCCAAAATGAGAGATAGCTGAAGGACACCTATAGAGAGAGAGAGAGAGAGATGTATTTAAAATCGACCCATGACACAGTAAGTAAAAATAGCTCAGCTGGTGTGTTTGTGTACCCGGGCCTTGCCGGGTTGCGACTGCTACTGTACCATTTGTCTACCATCTTTTCCAGCCCGCTGTTACCTCCTACGTGTAAAGTGGCCTGTGTTTTTTATGGTTGCAAGGGATGAAAGACTTAGAATGGGCATTCTCGTATGTAGTTTTTGTAATGTTGCATTTTGTATTTCAATGTGGTAAAATATAGATTTTTTTCATTTCTTTTTTAACATGGTTGACTTTGTACCGTGCTTCGAGCCTTTTGGGATGAAGCGTGCTTTTTAAATAAGCTTTATTATTATTATTATTATTATTACCATTGTCATTATCGTTGACCTCGGAGTTAACGGGCAGAAACGGAATTAACGGTATTATATTCACAATTATAGTAAACTGTCGTGGCCGGGCCGGGGGGGGGGGGTGGGGGTCCCCTCCATAAAAGAAGAAACACTATTTTGGTAGAGTATAGACGACACTCCACTCCCGACACCACAAAGCTACAAATGTTAAACAAAAATTAGATTTCCTGTTCACATTTTTTCACAACGTCGGGGATCGTCTTTACATATTCTCACAACCTCGGGGATCATTGTCACATTTTGTCACAAATTCGTGACCCCTTCCTGCCACCCACCTTTGCTTAGACGCGTCCTTTTTGGATGGTCTCCATTATTTCAATTTTCTTCCTTTTTTAAAAAAAAAATTTGATACGCCCCAGTCTGACTTCAAAGACGTAGAACATTTAAGGCCTCGATAAATCACCCCCACCTGTCATCGTATTCACTTAGAAATGCAAACGTTTATCTGGACACTATTTAGGATACTTAAAACTGTTTACCTTGACCATCAATGTCGATCTTATCGGTTCCACGGGTCACACATCTTAAACAATACCTTCTAATTAAGAATGCATTAACATCACCAACCGAGGTCCTGCTAGGAAAATAATAATTGTATTAAGGGAAAGTAATACAATTATTCACAAACAATCTGTATAAAAAATATATTTCCGACATGAGTAGCGTGTATCTAGTCACAATTTAGTGTTGCAGTTGGGACATGTAATCTTTTTGTGTGTGTGTGTGTGTTTTGGTACAATTGTTACACATTGATCCATTGATGTGTGTGTATGTGTGTGTGTGTTGTGGCCATATTGTTACACAGCGATAATCTGTTCACGTTCACCAGCTGTGTATATACATTTAATAATTTTAACAGAGAAAGGAAACATCGTTCTATAAATTACGGAGACAAATTAATCGGTTTGCCACCCTGGCCACCACCCTGGCCGCCCCCAATCGGTTTGCTACACTGGCCGCCACCCTGATGGTTCGCCACCCTGGCCGTCACCAATCGGTTTGCCATCCTAACTGCCACCCTGGCCGCCACCCTAGCCGCCAACACTCGGTTTTCCACCCTAGCCGTCACCACCATTCGGTTTGCCGCCTGGTCGTCATCACCATTCGGTTTGCCACCCTGGCCGTCATCACCATTCGGTTTGCCACCCTGGCCGTCACCACTATTCGGTTTGCCACCCTGGCCGTCACCATCATTCGGTTTGCCACTCTGGCCGTCACCACCATTCGGTTTGCCACCCTGGCCGTCACCACCATTCGGTTTGCCACACTGGCCGCCACCATATTTGACCATGCTTTTTTTAACAACAAATCTGGGAAACACTGCTCCAAGGCCAGGCTGAATCAGAGCAGCAACGACAGTGGCATCCGTTGACGAAATGCAATCTAACATCCACACACACACACACACGCACACCATTTGAGTGATATCATATTTAAACCGACAAAGCGCCGCCCTTGTGGGTCTCCCACTTGCACCCCCTGGGTACGTCACCGAGGACTGAGGACTAATACCGATATATATAATAATTTCCTTTCTGTATTTAGTATTGACCAACTGTTAGGTCAAGTAATTGCTTAAAAAAAGATGGTCTGGGGAGGTTTTAGCCGGGAACACCCCCTTCCCCCCCCCCCTGAATAAGAGTTCAGGTGTAACTTTTAGTATACTGTAGATCACGCCCCTGGGATTTGTCCGACTCCCGGTCAAATACTAAAATGGAATTATCCTGTTCAGGGCAGGTTGTCTACATCAAGTTTGATATTCAGGTCAACACAGAAAATAGGATGTCAGACCTTCAAATATAACAGGGCGGATGATATGGGGGGAAAAAAATTCCCTTTTTATTAATTTCCCCGTTTTGCTGTGCGCTTTTTTCTAGTCATCGCAGATGGTGTTTGGGTGATTGATGACATAGCGTATCTTTAAGTAGACCAGCACTCGACCTGGAAGTCACCACAGATGGTGTTTGTTTGATTGACGAAATAGCGTATCTGTAAGTAGACCAGCACTCAACCTGATCGTTACGATAGTTTACAGTCAACATTTTTTATGGAACTTCACAGCACAGACACAAAGAACAACAACAACAAAAAAACAACAACAAAAAACAACAAAAAAAAAACAAGTTGAAACCGTAAACGTAATAATCTGTCAAAGTTCAAGGCTGTTAGGTCAAAACTGATAGCCGTAAGCGACCTATAACAGTGGAAGAGTTTCGAGGTCAGAAATGGGAATTAAGCTTTCGAATTGAGGGGCTGTAGTTGTTTTGTTGTCTAGATTATTCGTACCCAGCCATGGGTCCATGGCGAGCTACAGAGAACTGTGTTATTTTGTTGAATAGATCTTTTCTACCCAGCCACTGGTCCATGACGAGCAACAGAGAATCATAATGGTGAAATGTGAACGAGATAATAGAAGTAGGTACTTAAAATTGTATATACATTTACGGCAAGAATTTTTTTTTTTCGTGGACCGGTGCTGCTTCGCGGATTTGTGCTACTTCGCGGAGCGGTTCTACTTCGCGGAGAGGTGCTACTTCGCGGACCGGTGCTACTTCGCGGACCGGTGCTACTTCGCGGACCGGAGCCAGTTTTCAAACGTTTTGAAATTAAAAGAGAGGGGGTTGTGGCGCCCGTAAAAGGTAAAGGACCCCTGAGCTGGGTTGTTTGCATGCTGAAAGAACAAGAAATCCTACTTTGGCATAAAATCCCCCCCCTTCCTCCCCAAAAAGGTGGAGAACACTTCAGCTGGTGAGATATTACTCCAGGTGTTATGCCCAATCAAAGTCAACTTGAAAAGTCGTTTAGTTAGGTCGAGCGATTTTAAGTTGCTGATACATAAGGCGCGTCACTTCAGCTTTGTTTTAGGGTGGGGAGGGGGGGTAGAGCAAAACCTAAAGTTGGTCGGCTTGTTAAGTTGTTTATTACTGGAGGCGAACGGTGCATAGCGGTTGAAATAAAACCTGAAAATTCAAGCGAGTGTGTGGCGAATGCCCCACCCTGCCCTACCCCAAATGACGCCCACGTGAAACATCCTTTATATCGCGCCACGTACATCTGACATTCTTCCGAGCATGGAGCATAACTCATACTTTCTCTACAGCAGAGAACCCGACTCTTACATTCTCTCATAACATTAGAATCATTAGTATTATATATATTTTTTTTTATAACAGAGAAGCTAGATCTTGTGGTGAACCCAAGAGCAAAAACATCAGCCCAGCGGGTGCCCGCGTTGATCAAATAGGGATAAAAATGAATTCGTCCCTGACGTCTGCGGGCAATTTTTAGAGCGTTGGTTTCAATTGCGGCGTTCCAGCATCCATTAGAAATACATGTAAAAATTCTCGTTCTTTTAAATGATTTCAGTTTTTAATTCTTTCCCCCCCCCCTCCAAATTACATCGGTCAGAGAGGTCAAGAAAATATGGTTTGCAGCAACAAAAACCCGCAGACCTACATTGTTGACACCCGTCTGATCCAACAGCGACCTTGTCCGTTTTAATCTTAATCCAAGCGTGTATCCTTCCAGTTTTGCCGCTAACCCAGATCTGGAACTGGGACGACGATCGATTTTTTTTTGTTGTTTTCTTCTCTTCTGCGGACAGTGGCACTGCTGCATTGAGCCGCCTTGTAAACATATTTTGTCAAAGGCTTGCCAACAAATTTACCCGTCACGTCCACACGGTTTTGCGTTTCTTTACGGTTTCTATATTTAGAGAGAAAAAAATTGAGGGGGGGGGGGGAGAGATTTTTTTTTTTTACCGTTGATATTACCCTGAAGCCATCGTGGATTTAAATGAAGGACACGTCTGCAGAGAAGGACAAGTGGATTCATCGTTAAGTTGTTGCCGCCATTAGTTTGTGGTCATGTTCCCCAATCTCAAACTCACACACTAAAACGTCAGATCAAACTTCTTGTACATCATGACATCGGGGAATCCTATTCTTCTCTAAACGTGTTTTTATACCATGTTTTTACGGCCTTTCCCCCTAGGTCCTACCAGCGTTTCTTTCCCCCTAGGTCCTACCAGTGTTTCTTTCCCCCTAGGTCCTACCAGTGTTTCTTTCCCCCTAGGTCCTACCAGTGTTTCTTTCCCCCTAGGTCCTACCAGTGTTTCTTTCCCCCTAGGTCCTACCAGTGTTTCTTTCCCCCTAGGTCCTACCAGTGTTTCTTTCCCCCTAGGTCCTACCAGTGTTTCTTTCCCCCTAGGTCCTACCAGTGTTTCTTTCCCCCTAGGTCCTACCAGTGTTTCTTTCCCCCTAGGTCCTACCAGTGTTTCTTTCCCCCTAGGTCCTACCAGTGTTTCTTTCCCCCTGTGTGCTCTGATGATATTTCCCCGTCTCTTGACTCACTTGTGATGGCGTTTCACCAATGTATTCTTATGGGTTTACCCTTTGTATTCTGATTATATTCCCTGTTCCTTGTGATTGTTTCCCTATGTGTTCTGATTGTGTTTCCTCGTGTAGTCTAATGGTTTCCCTATGTGTATTCTATGGTGTTCCCCGTCCATTTTCACGGATTTTCGCCATGTGATCCTGGGGTAAATACATGCACATTACTTTGCGCGAGGAAGCTCTATGTTACCTTGGGAATTCGATCCATTACTTTAAAAAAAAATATTACTATAGAACAACAGTTCTCTGGGCTGACATATGTATGACGCATATACTCTGCATGGAAGATATAGTATGTTCGCAGCAGGCCGTAATTTGCACCGTGTATTCAGCACACTGATATTTTATGCCTTATCATGCACGCAGTGCATAGTGGGCTTCTAAATGAATTTACGTGATTTGCCTAACGTAAATGCATTCCGAGTTTTGTAGTGGGATAATTGCACATCTTATTGTAAGGTCACACGGTGAGTTTCAGTAAATGCTTCTGGGGGAAATAATTTCTCTAACCTAATCTTTAGCCAAATCTCTAACCAAATCTTTAACCAAATCTCTAACCTAATCTTTAACCAAATCTCTAAACCAATCTGTAACCAATTATCTAAACAAATCTCTAACCTAATCTTTAACCAAATCTCTAACCAAATTTTTAACCAAATCTCTAACCTAATCTTTAACCAAATCTCTAACCTAATCTTTAACCAAATCTCTAACCTAATCTTTAACCAAATCTCTAACCTAATCTTTAACCAAATCTCTAACCTAATCTTTAACCAAATCTCTAAACCAATCTGTAACCAATTCTCTAAACAAATCTCTAACCTAATCAGTAACCAAATCTCGAACCAAATCTCTAAACCAACCTCTAACCAAATCGCTGCAGCTAGATTGCACCACGGGATATCACCAAATATTTATACGACTTAATGTTTTACGTCCATGACTCAAAATTCGAAATCTTAAAGTTCGCCTAAGATTTGACTCATTTCTATCCTTGACTGCAGAGTCCATGGGCAGATTGTAGGATATTTTTCATTTGAATATCAGCAACATGTACTATTTCAAGACCACACGTAGAGAAGATATCCTCTATTCAACAAGTGAAAAAAGCTATGACCCATTAACATGTAAACAAAAAGCTCTATACGTTCAACAACAACAACAACAAAATACTGCATGGAGACACACAAAAAGCCATACAATCCAGGAAAATTTAACGCTCAAAGATAATGTGCTCTTCAGGGATTCTAAATATCTCTTCCCCATCGGCATTTAAAAACAATGAAATAAGAACAATAATTTGACGGTATTCTCAAATCTGCACCTCTGTGATATCTCTCGGCAACGCCTTCTAGGTACAACTGAAATCGGTGTGAGCAGGAATTTTTGAAAAAAAATATCCCCATTTCCAAGTCGCGTTAAGCAGGATTCCTCGACAAAACAGTTTAGCAGCTCACCAAACATCTTGACAAACACCTAGAAACCATTTTTATATTGAAAAAAAGTACTGGAACTTCCATGCCTTTCTGCCGGGCCGGAGCTCTGCATAAATATGTAATAACCAAAAAGTTTGAGAACCATTGAGTCTGCGCACAAGTGTAACATGTTCAAATTACCGGTGACACAAGAACGGAATTGTTTACAGATTTTAACTTTCACACTCATACAATTAACGGAAACAAACAATTGTATGGCAGTAACGTCTTTTTTACCTACCTGGAAATCCAAGGACATGCACGCTCTCTGCTTGCTGTATCAATATCGACACCAAAAAGTCACGCATTTATTTTTAAAATAAATCCTTTATAAATCGTTTACAAAACTCTTTAATTTTCGTGTGTTTCTTTCTGTATTGGTGGCGAACATTTTTCGGACGTCTCATTCGACCCACTTCCCGTCGATCTATCGAGCTAAAACTTGGCATATGGACTCGTTGCTGACGACATCACTCTCTGTCAAATTAAAAAAAAAAACACCTATTAAAATATTTCAGCCCAAAGTTCTCCCCAATACCCACCCCCTATATTTTTCAGCCAACAAGCCCCTCGCACACACATACTTATAGGTCCCCTACACAACCCCCCACCCCCACACCCACCCCATAAACACCACTATCAGCCATGGGTTATTGTGTTCATCCCAAATTTTAGGTCAGGGTAATGGATAATGGTGGTAAAAATAAGCGCTCCGCTATGTGGCTCCAAGTCTCCATGGCTCAAAGTCCCCAAGACTCCATGGCTCCAAGTCTCCATGGTTCAAAGCCTCTATATTTGCCGTGGCTGTTTACCCGTGAAGACCGCGTAGCCTAGGTCTCGCCGTGGGCCTCAGTTAATACCTTCCATTCGTAGTGCTCCCTTGTCACCTCATTGAAAATCGAATCACACTGTTATTTCAGTAAAAAATGCCCACGTGTTTTTAAAGTCAATTAACTTGCGCGTTGCGTAACATGAAGTCGATTGCAAATTTAGGTTTTCTAATTTTATCCTTCATATCAATCACACATTGCATGACGTCAATAAAACGGTGTTTTAAAACAAACATAATCTCCAAACAGGAGATATAAAACAACATTTCTTGATGAAACCATGGCAACCAAATGCATGGCTTAATCAAATCCTTTGAGAAGTTTCAGTTTCCACGAAGCACGCTTTAACAAGTTAATTTGATAACTAGATTACAGTTTTTTTTAAAAATGGTTTATCATTTCTAAGATCGGAAAACGTCCCGTCGCTCTACGTGTTGTTACTTTTACTAGACGATGTCCTTGTAAAACATATCCTCTGACAATGTATTTCCGCATGTATAGAGCAGTAACAACGTGTGAGTAAAAAAAATCTTTCGTAAAATCAAGTTGTAAATGCGTTTTCGTCTAGGTAAAGACCCACTATGCCGGCTCACCGAACAGCTGTTGATAGATTGGCCATACGGAGTGCCATGATGTTTTTATTTATATCTTAAAAGAGGCAAATCTTTGAGAGTTTCCGTCAGGCATCATTTAGTCAAGCGAAGCCATTTCTCTCTCCCCCCCCCTTTTCTTATCCTCTTACGTCAGTAAATGATCCATACCATTCACTCTGGGTTCGAGTGAACCTTTTCACAGAGAGAGAAGTAGAAGTAGAGAAGACATGCTGTTATTTTAGGTTTTTTAAGTTGCTTTTTGATAGACACAATTAGATGACATAGACATTTCTTTTCGACCAAAACTGTCATTAAAACAGACGACGGGCTCTCAAAATCCTACCTTTAAAGAGATTAGGATCTGAGGAAAATTTTGTGACTTGTGTTGTTTCCCTTAACTTGCCCAAATCTTCTCATAATACCCTAACTTATTATGTGTGAAGTTTGCCCAGATGCCCATCAGTTAGTTGGCCAAGAAGCCTATCAGTTAATTGCCGAATCGCCCATCAATTAGTGGCCCAGATGCAAATCAGTACGCTGCCGAGATGTCCAACGGAATTATCCGTGTACATCACGTCATTAGAAGTGCATTCAAGTTAAAATTGAGTGCCCCCCCCCCCCACACACCCAAAAATTAAAAAAAAAAAATAAAAAAAAAATAAGAATGCTTTATCGTGGAACCCCTAAAAGGCATGGGGCCCCCTAGACACACGCATCATGTTAGTCAGGCCCTGGCTACATGACTTGTTGTAGGTTGGTGATGAAAACGCCGGACGGCTGGAATTGTGCATTAAAAAGATTACTAATAAAATTAAACAGCCATTTCTTACCCTTTAGATCTGCAATCCAGCGCTTATAGCCCCTGGCTGCGCAACCAGAGGCGTAGCGGGAGGAGGGTTTTTTAATGACGCACGGGACTGGTCAGGCGTTTCGCTGCCTCATTCCACGAAATACAAAACTCTGCGTTTTGCCGTAAGCAGAGGCGTAGCGAGGGTGTTTGGCGCCTGGGGTCAAGATTCGCGCCCGGGGACAAGATCCACTTTAAAGCGCCCCTTTTTCTTTTTTTCAACTCTCAAACCCTTTATTTTCATCAATATAATAATATCAAAGCACATTTTGGCGTCCCTAACTAGCTGGCGCCCTGGAAATTTGTCCCCCCTGTACCCCCTCGCTACGCCTCTGGCCGTAAATCCCCGCCCTCCACCCTCAATTTAAAGAAGAAATCAGCCTTCCAGAACGGACCGCACCTCCCACTCCCCATTTCTCCCCCCCCCCGGGCCACCGTGTGCAATATGCTCGTATCGGTCTGTGCGTGGAATATGACTAAGGGCCTACTTAAGCTTTATGATAATTTCTTGGTCCTGCGCAGCTGTGCCAATTTCTGTAATCTCTGGTGGTAATGTAATCACAATGACCTGTGACACCAGATGCTGTGTCTCTATCGCAGGTCCTCAAAACATCGTCTTTGGCAACAGGTTATTTTTTTTAAACGGATTTTAATTCCCCTGCGTTGTAGAGAGACTTATCTAAAGACGATGTGTTCGTTTTCGTCATCTTTAATTGACCTTGAATTTTGTGACCCGGGAAGTAGAATAAAACCCTAATGCCGGGATATAAACGATTTTTTTGCGTGATATAATTTTTTTAGGTTCTCACTTCAGACAATGTCTTTCTGTGCATTAGACTCTGAATTGACCACTTGAAATAACTATTGTTTCAAAACGGCCTGGGTTTATGAAACCCGAACCGTTTGAGAACCTTCCATCCTTTTTATTATTTTTTTTTCGTGTTTTTTTTTTAAAGCCATTTAACATGTGAGTCCTATCTTTTTGTCCAAAATTAAGGCTACAGAAGTTGGCCCGTTGTAGGCTACTGACCAAATTAACGCTGTGTTCAATGACCCCTGTGTTCTTTCAAGCACAAACTCATAATTTCGTACCAACTGTCTTTCGTGTCACCTATTTTCGAGACCTCTAGGTCGCAGTCTTTGTCTGTGTTCTCTCTCAGACAGCATCGCTAACTGTCAACGTCGAGCCTGTCATCGTCAACAACGTGTCTGCGGTGTCTTGAGAATTCAAGGTCACACCCGAATGGATATGAACATTTAAAAGGGCTGCATCTGCGCGTAGGTCGATTTCAGACATTACTCTTTGCTGTAAGATTTTCAAATTTGAAAGCGTATTTAAGTGAACACTAGGTCATGCTTCTTTTCCAGACAACATAAGGCGTTATCTGCTTGCACGCCTACCAATGACATATCAAGTTTGTCTAGCATGTGGCCGTAAAAAAGTTGTTTGACAGACCGAGATAATGATTATTCAAATAAACCAACATCTAGAACACAAAGGGGCTAGTATGCGGTTCCATACCGCTGAGCATAAATCTCTTATACATATTTTGCGTGTGGTGTGGCTGCTTCCATTTTCACAACCGGTCTTCCCCTACTGGAGATATTTTACATTAGTGGTACTGTGTGGGGGGGGGGGCACGCTATAACCAAGCAGCAAGGATCATGCATAACTCTTGAACTCGGGGTAAAAATGATTTTTTCGGAGGTTGATATAATATTAATCCATAAGAGCCACCTGTATAGTGTATGGTGTGGTGCAGGACTGTCAGTGCGACTATAGCTTAAAGGCAGGCATACATTAAAGAAAATGAGACGTTGACTTCTTTTCGTAACACATGGACCTACCGGGTATTTTAGGAAAGAATTGTCCGGATCCGCGCGTAAAAAAAACACAAAAAAAAAAACTGCACTCGTTTGGGCCAAAATACTCTTTGACATTAGACGTTAACTCCGTTTTTTTTTTTTTTTAACACTTTGACCCACAGGGTATTTTCTCAAAACACTATCCGCGCGTAAAAAAAACACAAAAAAAAAAACTGCACTCGTTTGGGCCAAAATACTCTTTGACATTAGACGTTAACTCTGTTTTTTTTTTTTTTAACACTTTGACCCACAGGGTATTTTCTCAAAACACACAGACCCGGGTGGAAAATAACACAACAAACAAGTGCGACCAGTGAAGCCCTAGTTTTGATTAAGTGGCGTGCATTTATTCGACGTCCTATAATTATTACGATCTGGTGATACAGACAAGATAAGGTCTCTCGTACTTTCCGCTTGGCCAATCTACTCCATTAGCTGTATCGACTCTTTGACGTCCCGGGGATGAAGGCTCTGTTGACGATATCCGACCCCGGGGGAAGGGAGACAAAAATGGACACAAATTATCAATATTTTGTATGCTTCAGAAATTAGCTGAGTTATTTAACATAACTTTGTCGCATGTTAACATAACTTTGTCGCATGTTAACATAACTTTGTCGCATGTTAACATAACTTTGTCGCATGTTTGGGTGGCAGTAGAACGTTTCAGGCTGGACACGTTTCCAGTCTTTCCCAACCGGCGTTCATTCCCCTACAGCCTGGTCCGTTATTGAGTTGACCGTCGTGCTCAAAATCTGGACCTGCCCTTAAGATGGACGTAAGGCTAACAGTAACACGTTGTCGACAATTTAACTGGTTTCCCCTCCCCACAAACATTGCGATCGGTTGAAACACTCGTAGTGTCCCCCACATCCGTCAGTTAGGGATCATCTGAAAAGGATTTGAATTTATAAAAGTCTCATTTACAATTTGTTTCGAAAGAAAAACTCTTTGACAGTTGTAGCATTCCTTCCATCTGCCTCACCAATGATAACATCTTCGTTTCCATTCCTTCCATCTGCATCACCAGTGATTAACATCTTCGTCTCCATTCCTTCCATCTGCCACACCAATGACAACATCTTCGTCTCCATTCCTTCCATCTGCCACACCAATGACAACATCTTCGTTTCCATTCCTTCCATCTGCCACACCACTGACAACATCTTCGTCTCCATTCCTTCTATCTGCCACGCCACTGACAACATCTTCATCTCCATTCCTTCCATCTGCCACACCAATGATAACATCTTCATCTCCATTCCTTCCATTTGCCACACCACTGACAACATCTTCATCTCCATTCCTTGCATCCGCCTCACCAACGATAACATCATCGTCTCCATTTCTTGCATCTTCCACACCAATGACAACATCTTCGTCTCCATTCCTTGCATCTGCCACACCAATGACAACATCTTCGTTTCCATTCCTTCCATCTGACACACCAATGACAACATCTTTGTCTCCATTCCTTCATTCTGCCTCACCAATGACAACATCTTCGTCTTCATTCCTTCCATCTGCCTCACCAATGATTAACATCTTCGTCTCCATCCTCCCAGCCGGACCCATGAACTGTTCCGCCAGTGTCAAAGAAATGCTCGAGTCCAAGCAGCACGTCCTACCGCCGTGCCGGGTGTGTGGCGACGACGGGGCGGGCTTCCACTACGGCGTCAACACCTGTGAAGCGTGCAAGGTAAGATCGTTTGACAACAAGTCTGCCCCCCCCCCCTGTGTCGCCATATCATCACGGCTTTAGAAAATTCGCTGTGTCATTAGAACAGACGGCGCATGATTCAGCTGCTTTCCAAACCAAGTGTTAAAATACGTTCTCTAGAACCCTTCATTCGAGGTCGTATACAGGGGATGGAGGGGGGGGGGTGGTGGTGTGGACGTGGCGTCTACGCAGCGGTGCCAACGGTTAACGAAGACAAGAAAGATAAATGGACAGTTCTATTCACTGCCTCCTGGGATAAGCCGGTACCTCGGACATAAACATTTGATTTTAAACGGCCTAGATTGCAGTATGGAAGCCCGGCATCATTGCCCGATCGCACTTTGTAGCATTGCCCCCCCCACCCCCAACCACATATCGGTGCATCAAATTTTGTTTAAAATTTATCACAAATGATATCTCGACTCTCGCCAATCTGGCAAATATTTCGTAAGTCAAGAGTCGCGTGCTGTTAGATGTAATGCGCGCCCCAAGAGTCAGTAGATGTTGACGAACATTCTGAGCAACAAAGAGACAAAAAAAAAGTAATGCTAAAAGATGGTTTATCCTGGTCCCTCGTGCACTTGTGTGTAGGTGATTATCTAGATTGCTTATTATTTTTGTTTGTGTGTGTGTGTGTGGAGGGGGAAGGATTCAATTTTGAAATACAATTTGTTTGACTTGCATAGGAGCCGGAATGATTAGTACATAGACCGTGGTCACCTCAAAATATAGAAAAATGACGAGTAGGTCCTCTTGACTTGGATGAAAACTCTGAAATCAACGTCCTGAGACATGGAAAAAGTTTTTGTCCTGAACATTTCTTAGCAATGGTTTCAGAGAGTATAGTATCCACGTCATCGTGTTGTTGTTTAAAATTAGTTGGTACTCTCCACTCCGTACGAATAATTTTACCGATTTGAAAGTTATGGAAATGCATAAATATATAATAACATTGTTATTTTGTTCGGAACTGTTCCCCACACAGGGTTTCTTCCATCGCAGCCTAAAGCTGAACCACACGTACAAATGTCCGGGTAACGGGAACTGTGAGGTCAGAAAAACGAAAAAACAGAGGAGTTGCCAGCTGTGCCGATACAAAAAATGCCTGCAGGTCGGCATGTCGAAAACAGGTACGCTATTTGTGGAACTATCCTAATACATGAAAATGATTTGCGCACCAGGCAAATGCAAAGTATCGTCTTTTACAGCTGTTAAATGGAATGAATCCAACGTAATTTTGGAGATGAAAAAAAACACTCTATGTTAGTTCATATTATTTTTGCGTGTATGTTGAAAAACAAGTTAAGGTTTAATTGTTGAACTATTAAATTCTAGTGTTTGGGAAGATGGAATGTATATTCTCACGGAAGGCGCACTTTCGCATTTGCTGGCCAAACAATTTGGAACACACTTCCTGTCGCTCTCAGAAACAGCGAGACACTGGAGTCTTTCAAAAAGCGATTTGTAAACACATCTATTTCGCTAACACCCGATTGGGTGATGTTGTCTGCCATCTTTTCCAGCAAGCTATTATCTCCTAAATGTATATTGTCCTGTGTTGTTTATGGTTGCAAGGAGGAAAAACGTAGAATGGGTATTCTCGTGTGTAGATATTTTAATGTTGCGTTTTGTATTTCAATGTGGTATGATATAGATTTTTTTCAATTCTCTTTTAATATTGTTGATTTTGTACTGCGCTTCGAGCCTTTGGGGATGAAGCGTGATTTTCAAATAAACTTTATTATTATTATTTATATTCATACATTGAATAACTGTAACTTATTAAATTAAAATATATATTTTTGAGTAATTGAATCAACAATGTCAACCCTATATCCACAGGTGGTTATAATTAAACATTTTTTTTTCCTCAAAAGAACAAAATAATATTTTATTTTTTTTATATTTTGAAGAAAACCGGCAACTCTACAAAAGATCTCATTTATTAATCTCTTCCACCTTTTAATTGACAGCCATCAAAACTGGACGCTACACGAGCTACAAAAAGACGAAGGATATTCTTGAAGTGAAAGAGCTGCACAGGTCACTTCACTGCAGTGGCCAGTTCTCGGCGGTCAAGAAGTCCGATGACGGCGACAACTCGGAGTTGTTGACCGAAACCTTGGATTCAGACGATCTCACGCGATCAAACTTGTCCTCGGATTATTTCAGCCCGCCGTTGAAATCTGCATTGACGTCACCACCTGGGAACGGGATGCTCACTCCCACCTCACTGTCCCCTTGGATGGAGACCATGTCCTCCCCAATGGCGTCCCCCCAGGAAATGCCCAGGTTCTCTGCCCTGCGGAAAGACCGTTCGCCGCGTAAAACCCTATCACCCACCACCGCCAGCATCTTTCTGTCACCCTGCTCCAGCGACGCGCTCGTCATGAGTCCCAGCCTGGAGACTCCTACGGGAAGCGTGGCGAGCACGTCGGGAAATTCCGATTGGCTGGGGCAGTGGTCGCCATCCTGCGACGAACGCATCGATTTGGTACAAAGTTTTTGCAAGACTGCATCGCAGGATCGGGAGATATCGGAGGAAGCCATGTGTTTTTCAGAACTCGGATACTTGCCGAGCACAGAAGTCGGGAACCCTACCAACAATCATTTTAACCTCAGTACTGAACTAAAAAGTGATCTGGATAATACTATGAGGTTTGTAGGCACGTCAATGAACCTTACTGGACAAAATAAATCTTTGAAATATATTTGATATGATACAGAATGTGAAGCAAACACATCTATAAAATTGTACAACTATTCCAGATCTGATTTCCTTACCATAACATTTTTATTCTCTGACCACAAGGGATGTGTTTCAAATCGTATATTTTTACAACTTCAGACCACACTCAAAAACCATTCTTCTGATTAATTAACTCCATTTCTGCTGTTTTTCTGTTTAATGTTCATTTTACAACAAAATGCTCCCAATGCTCTCTTTCCCCAAAACTGTTTTTACTCTCTGGCGCCTTCATACCTCCATTTTTTTTTCTATTTAGCTCACAAATTCTTTCCCACCAATCCGTTTTTCAACTATCTCACTTAAACGCCACCCACTTAACGGTTGACCTAAATAATCTTTTTCATTATTTACCTCAAATTATTTAATTTCTACTTATTACCCCATTTTTCTCCCCACACAGAAGACAAGCCCTGAACTCCCCTTCCGACACGACCCATCATTCAAGCCATCCTCCGCCATCTTTCCACAGCCTGACTGCGGTGTCACCGTCGGTCCTTTTATCACCATCGGCCCCGACAAATATCCAACAGCTCCCGGCCAAGAATCATCACTCCACACCTAGCTCCCCAACTGAATTTTCCCAGCTCCTTCCCTTGAAAAATTCCCCACAAGATGTTCAACTATTTGCACACCAGCAAGTAAACGAAAGCGGAAGGGGCGTGAAACTCATCGCGGCTGAATGTGAAGGGGAGCGAATCGTGAAGGAGATTTACGCCAACAAAAGGGAGGTCATCGAGCAACTCTCGGACTGCCACAAGCAGTGCTTCAGTTCTCTTTTCAGATCCGTCAAACGTCACGAGGAAATCCAGGAGCAGCAAAGGCAGCACGCAGTAAGTTACTGAGATTTATATATAGGCCTAACATTTTGTAAAGAGATAGATTTTTTTTTGGGGGTGGGGTGGTGCGCTCTTTCGCCTTTTCCGGCATTTAGTCAAGATAACCACTACTAATGTTATAGATCTCAAAGTGCCACCCGGGGTGGGGGGGCGGTCGCCCACGTACACCCTTCGAGGTGGTACACTGCTTGGGGAGACACAATTTGAATGTCTAGGAGCTTGCTGCAGGTCCTTATCCAACACTGTTTAAAATGGTTGGTTAAGGAGAGTCAATTCTTTGTGGAAAATACCCTAAGCTTGTGTTTGGAATGTCAGAAATCGTGTATAAATTATATAAGCATTTTTTACACCTTAATTTTTGAATTTTCAGGGGAGTAACTTTTATTATGTTTGTAATGGGTAAACCCTTATCCTAAAGGAAAGGCGTTTAACCATTGCAAAAATATTTTAAAAAATTGGATACTTTTTGGGTCTACAGAATAACCATCTTTTCCAACTATCTCAGCCGTATTTTGGCATTTTTGAAAGGTCAATTATGATGGCGAACGTTTCTATGACCCTTGCTAGTCCCCATAGTATTAAGTATAATGATGACCAGAAGGAAAAAGGTCGCCTATTCCAACCAAAATGTTTCACCTTCATTGCACATAACACTGATTATTGTTTTTTGTTTTTTTTGTGGTCTTTCCTAATGATATCTGACGCGTATGGGTGTTCACTAGTAATTGTTGCGCACCCAAAATTGTGCTTTATTGTGCCCGATGCAATTTGAAAGGTAGAGTTATTGAAGGCTTTCCCGCCTTTCAGTTGGTGACGTATATTTTTTTGTAATTAAGACTAGAGCAGTGACTCTCAGCCCTTCTAATGCCGCGAGCCTGTAATACAGCTCATCATGTTGTGGTGACCGCCAAACATAAAAATCCATGTTCGTCCCTATATGTGTTTTCCGATGGTCTTAGGCGTCCCCCGTTTAATGGTTGGTTCGACCCCGAAAGGGGTCGTGACCCACATGTTGAGAATCGCTGGCTTAGAGTGTCTTTGCGTGAACGTGCACGTGTGTTTCAGCAGCTGTTTTGAGAACCTTGCAGTGGACGGTTGTGCATTATTCCCCTCCCCCCCCCATTATATAGCCAGCTGCTCTATACATGTGTTTGATTAACTGTGGTACAGCCTAGAGGTTATGTTTTCTAGATTAATGTTTACAGTACTAAAGGGGAAAGAACTTGTGTTTCATCCGGTGTGAAAAATCCCATCGCCTAAACGTAATGTTTCTATTTTTAGAGAATTTTCATTTGTAAAACACAGCTTCTAACAATGTATTTCCGTACATATAGCAGTAACAACTTCTTTGTAAAATCTTTCGTGAAGTAAAGTTGTAAGTTGGTTTTTGTCTTTGTTAAGGCTGACGTAAACGTAGACGTACCCAAAAGCGTCTTGAGAGATTGACCAAACGGAATACCCGGATGTTTCATTAATTTCTTAACGAGATTGGCCAGACTGTGCGCCCGGATGTTTTATTCATAGATTTCCACCAATAAATCCCCAACCCTTATAGTTTATGATCGTCAATTGGTCAAGACAAGCTTGGGGAGTGATATAATTTTATTTAATGGACTCGGCGCGCAAAGAGAATTACACCCCTGTCTAAGAACTGTGTGCGCTGTTTGATGGCGTAGATATACGAGTCAAAACAACTCAAATTAATTTAGGAGGTACGAAGAAAAAAAACATCAACACAATCAGTTAATGAAGCAACCGCATATGTTACAACATGTTTTTGTTACGGTAACGTTTAGGAGCAGTGTGAGGACAGAATACGGGTGTTCGGTCGGATGTTTTTTCTACCCGAGAAGGACTATGATGAGATCTGGATGACAACCGGCATGGATGTGGATAACCGAAAGGTGAGAACTTGGCTGTGGTTTTTTGTGGATAACTGAATAATGCCAGGTTTGGATTGAAGTGGGTAACAGGATGGTACGATAAATTGATGGGTTGGGTTAATAGGGAAGGGTAAGACATAGAGGGGTGGATATAAAATAAATGTAAAACTATTGTGAATTGGATGGCGAAGATGTAAGCAAGAGAAATGGATATTATAGGACAGCAGGAAGAAAATAATGGGGATTCAGGGTGGGAAATTTGGAAGAATCTGGATACATCAACTGAAACTGAAAAATTCTTGTCATATGTGTACAATTTTAATTGTCACTACCTGCGTTATCCGTCAATTTACAAACATTGTCGCCATATACATGTTCATCCAATTTATAAACATGGTCATCCCATTTACAAAGATTATCATCCAATTTACATACATTGTCTTCCAATTTTCATGCATTGTCGTACAATTTCCATAACATTTTTATCTAATTTGCAAACATTATCCAATTTACAAAGAGTATCATGCGATTTGCACACATTGTCATCTAATTTGTGTAAACTACCAATCAGGTGCTGTTGAAGAACTGGGAGGTCAACTGCGAACTCCTGGCCTACGCTCTCATCAAGTTCTCTAAGAAGATTCCCGGCTTCACATTGCTGGACCTCCCCACCCAGGCTGACCTGATTAAAAGTAAGAGCTGAACCGGGGGATCATTTATTGTTTTACTTGGTGTTGTGTTGTTATACGCTCGTGTTGTTCGTGTTCTAGGCTTTTAATTGTCCATCCTAGGGCACTAATATGTTGTTTTTTTTCCCATCATTTGTTACACTTTATTGAATTTGTACACATTATTTGTATTTGCTTCATTAAGTAAAAAATCTTAACTATTCATACATTGTAAAGATATTCCTTATAAATAAAGTATTACCATATTCGTAATAAATTATGGTGATTATTTAAAAAACTTATTTTTTTTCTCTTAGAAACAATTTTAAAAAAATTAGAAGCTGATTTGTTTCCTTAGGAACTGAATTTTTTTTTCATACAAAAATTATTTTTTTTCCCCTTAGAAAATGATTATTTTTCTTCATTAAAAACGATTTTTCTCCATAGAAATTGGATTCCCCCCTCAAAAAGAAACTAAAACTTTCCCCTTAGAATACAATTTACTTTTCTTTCTACTTAAATAAGATTAAAATTATTATAATGATTTACTTTCAACATCTGTCAAGGTGCACGCCCTGAAGTGAACATTTTGAATAGCATGCCCCTGTTCAACGCCGACCTCAAGGTGGGCATGTGGGCCGGGGGCAACCACTTCTGCCACAAGGAGTTCGGCCAGTTCGTCAACCACGACCTGTTCTGGTCGTACACGCAGATGTGCCGCAGGGTGCAGAAGCTGGGGCTGACGGACGAGGAGCTTGCAGTCATCAAGGCTTTGCTGGTCTTCACCACAGGTGAGCTGCTGTCTGGCGTCTGTAGATTTTTTTCCAGCTTGGACCCAGAAGTTGAATAGCTGAAAGAGAAGTCAAGTAAACTAGAGTGTCGTCTAGCGTGATTAGAGTAAGGGTGTCGTTTAGTGAAAGTAGAACTAGGATGTCGTCTAGCGGGAGTAGAATTATGGTGTCGTCTAGCGAAAGCAGAACTAGGGTGTCGTCTATTGAAAGTAGAACTAGGGTGTCGTCTAGCGAAAGTAGAATAATTAAGGTGTAGTCAAGTGAAACTAGATTAGAGTGTACTCTAGTGAAAGTAGAACAAATAAAACATATTTAAGGTAATTTGGTGTTGATAATTTGATACATTCCAGTCTTAAAAATAAATTTATAACGTGGCATGTATTAAAAACAAAAAAAGCAAATCAATCAAAAGTCCCGTAACTCCTTTGAATATCTATCGCTCTTATTTAATCATGGTTATCTCCTTTTAATTATAAAACTCTCAAAACTTAAATTTTGTTTTAAACAGCCACTGGACATGAATGATGCCCGCACTGAATTCAAAAACATGCTTTCATCATTTGAGTCCATTATTTAGTTTTACAATTTCAGATAAGAATTATTCATGTCCAAGACATTCTCCATACAATTAGGATGAAATCTCTTTTCAGCTGTCGTGATCTACTCAGGATAATGGTAGGGTTAAAAGATTTCTGAAAATGTGATTGTGTGTGAACAAATTGTGATTGAATAATAATAACCAAATATTTACTAAATATAACCTGTGACGTGTGTCCTCAGACCGTGACGGTGTCACCGTAACCACGCCCATTCCAGCAGCCGTCCAATCCCAGCTCGTCGAATGCCTGGAGTACCTCCTCTCGCTGCGACTCCCCGAGCCCCACCTGGCGCTGGCCGGCGTCATCCAGTGTCTGACCGACCTGCGCACCGTCCACCAGCAGGCCACCGACCTGCTCGTCTCGGGGTTCAAGATCTTCAAGTACTCGACGGTTCTGGAGAACCCGTTCCTCCGCGAGCTGCTGTCCGACGTCCTGGCGATGTGCGGCGACCCGGTGCAGGATTACGGTCCGGATATGGGGGAAGGGGAAGACGAGGGAGGAATCCACAATCACAAAGATGGGGGAAGCTCCAGGGAAGGTCCAGCAGATGTCACGCTTGGGTTTCAGGACCAACTTCCCAACAAAGAACACCAGGCCTTTGGATATGATTTTTTGCCGACCTACACGTGAAGACGAGTAATAAGTACGATTACTAATAAAATAAAGTGTTGAGATTATGTGACATCAAATTGATACCTCATGGTGGTTAAACAATGGCCAGATTTCCAGAATGATAATCTGGGGCCAAACTGTAAGTCTGATCATCGACAAAAATAAAATAAAAGTGAATGGCTATATTGGTAGCATTTTGGCATAATGCTGGTCCCAGTATCAAACGGTAACCAGATGGTCGAACAATGAAGTACAAACTATGGCCAGATGGTCAAACAATGACTTACAGCCTAAGGTCGCATGATCAAATACTGACTTACAAACTGTGGCCATATGGTAAAACAATTTCCTACAGCCTATGGTCAGATGGTCAAACCGTCAAACCATGAAATACAAACCAGAGCCAGATGGTCAAACAAGGACATACAAACAATGACCTACCATTTGTGATCTGATGGTCAAAAAAGGACATACAAACAATGACCTACCATTTGTGATCTGATGGTCAAACAAGGACATACAAACAATGACCTACCATTTGTGATCTGATGGTCAAAAAAGGACATACAAACAATGACCTACCATTTGTGATCTGATGGTCAAAAAAGGACATACAAACAATAACCTACCATTTGTGATCTGATGGTCAAAAAAGGACATACAAACAATGACCTACCATTTGTGATCTGATGGTCAAACAAGGACATACAAACAATGACCTACCATTTGTGATCTGATGGTCAAAAAAGGACATACAAACAATGACCTACCATTTGTGATCTGATGGTCAAAAAAGGACATACAAACAATGACCTACCATTTGTGATCTGATGGTCAAACAAGGACATACAAACGATGACCTACCATTTGTGATCTGATGGTCAAAAAAGGACATACAAACAATGACCTACCATTTGTGATCTGATGGTCAAACAAGGACATACAAACGATGACCTACCATTTGTGATCTGATGGTCAAAAAAGGACATACAAACAATGACCTACCATTTGTGATCTGATGGTCAAACAAGGACATTCAAACGATGACCTACCATTTGTGATCTGATGGTCAAACAAGGACATACAAACGATGACCTACCATTTGTGATCTGATGGTCAAACGGTGGCGTATGGGTAGTCTCCGATCAATGGTCAACCCCCGTCAGAGATGAGGATTACTATTAGTGTGGGCTTGATCCACTGTGCGATGTTGGCGCATAATTTATCGGTCGTTACTTCGGTGGCTCATTTGGTTTTTGTGTAGCTCGGCAAACGACCAGTGAGTTCAGTCGTTCTTCAGTGGCCAGAAGTTGTGAAGGATAAACGACTCTGTCACCAACGTGAAGACGTACTCTTGATTTCTAATTGTTTGGCTATCGTTTCACGTAGCCCAGTTTGGCTATTGTGGTTTGTCTAATCTAAACCACATTGAAATCCCATTAATTATTTATCAATGTAACAAGATGTAATGGAGGCACGGGTTTGACCTTCTTCCTCTGTTAGATAACTTTTCAGTCAGTAGAAACAAAAAAGCTATTTTTAGTTCAATAATTGCTCATGTTTTTGTTAAAATTTGGATTTTATAAAAATAAAATAAAAAATAGTGAATTAACATGACTACAGAACGGCAGCATAAAGCAGCATGCAGCAGCATACATCAGCATATAGCAGCATATAGCAGTATACAGCAGCATACAGTGGGATACAGCAGTATATAGCAGCATACAGCAGCATACAGCAGCATACAGCAGCATACAGCAGCATACAGCAGCATACAGCAGTATACAGAAGCATATAACAGCATACAGCAGCATATAGCAGCATATAGCAGCATACATCAGCATATAGCAGCATATAGCAGTATACAGCAGCATACAGAGGCATACAGCAGTATATAGCCGCATACAGCAGCATACAGCAGCATGTAGCAGTATACAGAAGCATATAACAGCATACAGCAGCATATAGCAGCATTCATCAGCATATAGCACCATATAGCAGTATACAGCAACATACAGCAGCATATAGCAGCATACAGCAGCATACAGCAGCATATAGCAGCATACAGCAGTATACAGCAACATACAGCAGCATATAGCAGCATACAGCAGCATATAGCAGCATACAGCAGCATATAGCAGCATACAGCAGCATACAGCAGCATATAGCACCATATAGCAGTATACAGCAACATACAGCAGCATATAGCAGTATACAGCAGCATACAGCAGCATACAGCAGCATACAGCAGCATACGGGTTCCATTACTTTCATACGAATGTGGATGCTCACTTTATCTGAAAATTGCATGAGGCTGTTTGCGTGTGGTCACAATTCATCAGCCACAATTCTATCTGACAGTGACCGCTACTGTTTTTTTTGTTTTTTTGTTAACATTATGTGACCTTTGCTACCGAAATGCTTAAACCGGACCTGTGTACTAATTGTTTCACTACGTGTTATGGTTATATATAATATAATGTAGCATTACTTAAAGTAAATAACAACAAAAAACTGACGTTATAATGAACAGTTGTGAAAAGATTTTGTTTAAAAAAATGGTTGTAAGAACCACGCTCATCACAGTGAAGGATATAAATATCCATTGGTTATTTTAAAAAAAACAGAAAATTCTACTGTTGACAGGAATTTTGCCTTCGAGTTCTGACGTAACAGTTAATGATGCTATCATGTTACAAATGTGATGTGATAATTTTACAATTGTGATGTTATGCTACAATAATTGTAATGTAATAATGTTACAATTGTGATTTTATGATGTTACGACTATGATGTTAAGATGTTATAAGTATGATGTTGCAATAATGATGCTATGATGTTACATTTGTGATGCTAAGGTGTTACAAAAATGAAGTGACAATTGTGATTTTACGATGTTACAATTGTGATGCTATAAAGATACAATTATGATGCTATGATGTTACAATTGTGATGTTATAAATATGATGTTATGGTGTTGCAATTGTGATGCTATGATTTTACATTTGTGATGCTAAGGTGTTACAAAAATGAAGTGACAATTGCGATTTTATGATGTTACAATTGTGATGCTATAAAGGTACTATTATGATGTTATGATGTTACAATTGAGATTATATGATATTACAATTGTGATGTTATGATGTTACAATTATGATGGTATAATGCTACAGTTGTGATGCTAGGATGTTACATTGTCCCTTCTGCTCAAATATATATATTTAAGAGGAACTGTGTTGTTATTTTGAAATATTTTTTTCCATACTTTCATGTGACATGATGGACGTACTTACTTAAGTAAACACGTAGCTTTTCTTTCCTATGACTTTGTGTGTAAATATTCTCTCTCTCCCATCTCTCTCCCCTCTCTCCTCTTCTAGCAATCTCTCTCCATCGCTCTCTTCTCTCACTCTCTCTCATCTTCTCTCACTCTCTCTCATCTTCTCTTTCACTCTCTCTTCTCTCGTTCTCTCTTTTTCTTTCTACCATCTCGCTATTATAACTCAGTTCTATCTCTCTCTACTGTCGCTCTATTCTCTATTTCACCTTCACTCTCTCTCTCTCTCTCTTTCTCCTTTCTGTCTTCTCTTTTTTCCCCCCTCTCTCTCTTCTTTCTCCTTTTCCTCTTCCTCACCATACTATCCATTCTCATTCTTCTTTCTCGTCTCTCTCTCTCTCTCTACTATCTCTTTCTACTCCCTTTCTCCACTCTTTCTCCACTCTCATCCTCTCTCTTGCCATCTAAACAGATATTTTAAACAAAACTAACACCTTTAGTATCTGTCACAGATATATCACAACAAAGAGCTACATAATAATACTTTATTTTTGTGGGGCCTGCTTCCATCAAGACTGATTCCTTTTCATTCTTTTTTTTTTTGGTGTGGGTGGGGTGTGGGGGTGGATAGGGTATATTTAAATTACCCTTTTTTTGTGTTAGTGTGGATGGGATAAATATTTCTCTGACTATATGCTAATGTGTAGGCACACACCTGCAAACGAAGTATATGACGTTTTCGATTTACATCTTTAAGTACCTAAGTTATCCAGGTACAATGTATTTAAAAGCATGATCTAGAACAGCTGCCGTGTTGCCCAAACCAACATCATGTTACTCTACCCAGCTACGCTCCGGGCCAATTTTTGTCAGCGCCACCGTCACTTCGATTTCCCGCGAATTTAAAAAGGGGAGTGGGGGGAGGGGGGGGTTATGGGGGGTGGCGGAATGTTCAAATAAGTATGTTGATTATTGTGGATGACCCATCTTACTAGGCATTAGAGATGCGTGCACCAGCTATATAGCAGGTAGAAGAGTACGGCAACCGTTCTGGTAGAAGAACGGAGGACAAAATAGTATCGTTCAGAATAATGGGGAAACATTGCTGTAGTAGGGCGAATAAGCTATTAGAATAGTGGGCAAAAAGCTGTAGAAGTGGGTGGGCAACATAGATGTAAAAGAGTGTGTTCAAACATAGCTGGTAGAAGAATAGGGCAACATAGCTGGTAGAAGAATAGCGTAACATAGCTGTAGAAGAGAAGGGCAAAACTATTTTTGTTCAGAAAACATCTTTTATTTATTTTCGACTATGTTTGGTGCGTAATGTTTTCTTTTCTTTTACCGAAAATGAAATATTCTCACATTATTAAAAATGGTGGTAAACAAATTTCGGTTTAAAGGTGGTTGAGACATCAGAATAGTAAAGTAATACAGTTCAAAAATACCGTGAAAAAAAAGAGTGTGCAATAACGAATCATGAGGGGAGGGGGGTGCAGCGAAAATTGGGATTCTCAAATGTGTGTTTATTGAGTTCATGTTTCGTCAAGTAACTTTAGTAGATGAGAAGTTCACGCACTGCTGTCGCCCATGTTTGGGCGGGCTATGTCTTCTAGTATGGGCATATTTAACGCATTTAAAAGTCGGATGTGACGTATAGTTTGGGGACAGATTTGATCTTGTTTAGAGAGTACACAACTTCTTCGGGGAGTATCAAGCAATGTAGAAACCTATAAATTACGGGGATTTCAGTTCTCTTCAATCCCATGATTTATGGTAGTGCTCGCAGAATGCTTCACGGAAATAAGTTTATGAAGCGTTCCAGTGCACCAACTGTTTTTGTTACATTGACATTGCCTCGCCAAATCGGGCCATTGAACTGCGCAATTTAAAAAAGAAAACAAAACATTTTGTTATGTGAATTGGCTTTGAGTGAGATTTAGTTTGTTTTTTTCGTGGCTGAAATTCTTTGAGCCCACATTTCCCAGAGTTCGTGAAATCCTACGTAGACAGCTGAAATTACTTACACAGTTTAATCTCGCGGTCCACTCTTGTAGGTTTTCATCACCCAATCTCGTTACGTCTCTAAATTTCTCGTTCGACAAAATATCCATCTGATATAACGGAGTTACTAAAAAGAAAAGGTTTAAAAAAAAAAAAAAAGGAAAGAACTTTTACTAGTGAAAATTAATCTCAATATTCTTCCCACAAAGAACTGTTTATGTATTCCATCTGTTCAAGAGATGACTGATCTGACCCAAAGTGGATGTTCATTTATAAATATATAT